TAATTTTGTTTACAAATAAACAGTTGTTTCAGAACTAGAACAACTATGATTGTAAAAGTAACATATATTTAGTAGAAAAAGAGATCAAAAGTATTTTGAAGAACATTTCTATCTGTCATTAGTTAAGAATTTGAAATTCATGTTTAATATTTTCTTCGGTATAACTTCTATCTCTGTTATATGTTTGTTGTTACTTTTTCGTAGTTAAATATGATGTGTTCCAAACTTGGGTGCGAGTGTAGAGTGTAGTTGTGAGCTCGAGTACGAATTTTGAGAACATCCACTACCACACCCTTTTAGTAAAATCACTATAGGTAATTGTTGTAATTTTCAACGTATAAAACATAGATTTCAACTGCTCTTTACATACTTAAATTACGTGTTACATCTCGAGAAGTCTTTTCCAAGATTAATAATTTGTAGGTATCATCGAGACATTTTTTGATAAAAACACTAACATTTATAAAGTTTCCAAATAAAAATGGTTCGCAAAACATGAATGCAAATTCTTCTTTAGGTCTCTGAAATCTAAAAGATTCTATTGTCAATGTAGAGTCGCACTAAAATTCATATGGTTGTGTTTAAAACAAACGAGTTGTAGGTCGAAACTAAACAATTCCAATTAATCTTGATGAAAAGAATTCTATTAAGAAATTCTCTTATAACACTAGTTTATCATTCGAATAGAAATATTATTAGGCATATGATAGTCTTTTTTATCAATTGAAAAATATTTCTTCATTTTCTTTATTTATCTTTTTAGTGTACTCAAAAAGGGAGTACACTACTAAAATCGGTCTGTGTGTCCGGCCGTCCGTCCGTCCGTCCGTATACACGATAACTTTCGAAAGGGGAGTCAGATCTTGATGAAATTTTCTACACAGTTCAGTCTTGAAAATATCTCGGTCGAGTTCGAAGATGAGAAGGATCCGTCAAGAAATGACTGAGTTATCGAAAAAATTGTGATTTTTGACCAGACCATCCCTGAGGGGAGGTACAGGGATTTTTTGAAAAAACATTTTTTGCCCATAATTATTCACAAAATACATCAATCGACTCAGTTTTTAACGCTGATTCTGAATCTGATATTAGTTTTGAACCGAATCATAGATTCGTGTACTAGAAAAGTGAGTACACTATAGAATAGTCAGTGTGTCCGTGCGTCCGGTTGGCTGTTCACATGATAACTTTTGACAACAGAGTCAGATTGCGATGAAACTTTCTACAAAGCTTAGTCTTGACAATATCTCGGTCGAGTTTGAAGGTGAGAAGGACTGGCCGAGCCGTTCCTGAGTTATTGCGAAAATGCCCCTTTTTACCTATAGCTTTCTGTGGAAAAATAGACCCATCGCGGCTTTCGTAAAAGAGTTTTCCTATCATAGTCAATTAAAATCCTAACTATTATATACCATTCGATAGAGAATTTCAAGAGCTACAAAATGATGTATAAAACATAAAGAAATAAGAAGGTTGACTCACCTATCGCAAGAATAATTAAAGAGAACTGGGCTATATTTTGGTTCACGATCTAATTGATCCACAAATAGAGCTCTATCTCCCGATCACAGTGATGATGTTTCGAGGTTTTCAGAGATGGAGAACTCGAATGTGTATTGCACTCCCAACGTAATACTATTGGTTGTGCAGTGGCCAATAGAAATCAAGTTATAGGAAAAATGACTGTTTTAGGGTAAATCAAGGGAAAGACTTCAAACTTGAGCTGTGTTCGATCCCAAGTCCTATTGGTTTGGCAACGCGCAATGAAAATCAAAATTTGAAATGCTAGTTTTCCCAGTATAATTTTGATGTTCAGACATTCTAGGATGACTGATTCGTATGATCCACTTTTTGAAGTACACATAACTCTCGGATTTAAATCCGAAGTTTCCGCATTTATTTGTTTGTAATATAGCCCAGTGTATTGTAGGTGCTGCATAGTACCATGTTGCGGGACATTGAGTAGTTTCTAATATATCCCAAAATACATTTGGATCAAATCCTTCACAAAGAATAACACTGCCGCCTGTTAGCAGTGGTGCAAATAGGTTTCGTACAATACCGCCGACATGAAACAGAGGCATCATATTCAAATTACAATCCGTTGGAGTTAACCGCCATGAAAATGCAACACATAGGGTGCTAATAATAAATGTCTTTAATTTGTATGGAACGGTTTTCTTTTGACCAGTTGTGCCAGATGTTTGTAGAAGAAGACAAGTATCCTCTGAACTATTTAACGCACTTTTATTAACACGACATTCTACCGCACCTGAATCTGAGATGGTTTCCAATTTAAATGTCTCTGCTGTTCTATTTAATTTCAGTAGTAATGTCGTTGCTTTCAGTTGTTCAGCATCGACAATATTAGTATCAATAACCAAAGCTTTAATTTGCAGTACTTTTATGTCATTTTTAATTTCATCGATTGTACTTGACGAATTCATCGGTACACAGGTGCAGTAACAACATGTTGCCAAAATACAGAGACCAAATTCTGCGCCATTCGGTAGAAGAATACCTACACGATCGTTACACTGGAGATTGAATTCATATAAATTAAACTGATTTTTAATGACATTTTTAACTTCTTTGTGTGTATAAAGAACACTCAGAGCAGAAGAATAAATTGCTGGTCTATTCTCATCATTCGCTCCGGACAAAAGCTGTAACAGTGATTCGAATTTGAGTTCATTTGCAATGTAACTTCCTAATGATTGTTCTTGTGAGTGTCTTTCATTTATTTTTGATAGTTGACGTGAAATAACACTGGTTTCCATTAAAATATAGAGGAAAAATGTTTATAAATGCGGTACGATTCTAAATTGAAAAAATCCTTAAATGAAAAAGAAAAGCTGAAACACAAATAATGGCATGAATAGTAGAAAAAAAAAGTATCACGCACGGTGAAATTCATAAAATGTTCGCAGTCGATCAAAACAAACAACAATGAATAGAAACACTATTGATAAAAGAATATTCACTTATGGCCTCTGAAACACTAGTAGTTACTACGCCAGTAATCTAAAATGCATGAAATACCGAATCGATATTCACTACACCTAAAGTTTCGATTACATTTTAAATTAATAGAATTTGAAAATGGGTTGTGTGAGATATTCTTCCAGACCTGTATTAGTTCAACCAAAAAATATCAAACTTCTTCAGTAGTCCTTAGCTGAATATATGTAAAAAATGTCTCGTAAGTATTCGTAATCATAGGCACATACCCTTTTTGTGGAAATCATAAGAGGTCTATCATAGTTGAAAAGATAATAATTTACTCCATATCTAATCATCACTTTCCTTTTTTCGATCATGAAGAAGAAATAGCAATTAGTGTAACTACATTTTTGATTGAGTTAAACTACTACAGAGAGAAAGAAGGAAACGAACGAAAAATGCTAATATCCTTATTTCAACCTTCCAGTACTCACGCACCTATTTGACAATAGGAATACGAGAATTATTTATACTTTGTTTGATGATGCAGTAAGATGTCTAACTGAATATACGTAAAACACTATTAGGGATGAGCATCAATGTGAAGATCGTTTTCCTTTTTCTTTATTTAATTTAAAGAAAACAAAACGCAATCACACACACACGTCTAACCAGCGCGTAACTAGAACTATATTTGAGCTTCGAAAGATGCACCGAAGAGATGAAAGAAGAACAATGAAAGAGATTGAGAAAGAAAAAAGATGTACTTATGTATATGTGAATATATACATATATGCTTCCAGGGTCGAGAAAAACGTAAGGACAAAAGAAGAAAACTAATCTAGAAAAGAAAAGAAAAAATCACATATATCGAAGATTATCCTCTAACAGTCGATCCCCCAAAAGAAAAAATGTGTGTCCCTACACATAACAAACGAAACAGCAATAATAGTGAAAAAAAAGCAACAAAATAACGATATAGATAAGTTCATGAAAGGGAAGGAAAGAAAAGAAAACACAACAAATATAAAGGGTGTTTCATAAGTTTTGACTCCATTTTTTTTCTGATTTTTCTTCTTGTTATATTTTAAAGTAAATAGGGAGGGTTTGTATATTTTTGAAGAGCAGTGTCTAAGCTATCATCCAATATAAATTGAGTCGAATTCGGATGAACTCAGAAAGTACTAAATTGACAAAGATATTGAAGAAAATTTCATCAAAATCAGATTTTGGAATATTACAGAATTTCGATTGTTTGTCTTTAGTAGGTCATATCTCTATCAAGACAAAAGCAAATAACCTGATAGTTTCAGTATAAGTAGAGCCCACTTGGATCTAATATCTGTAACAGTTTCATTAATTTTGATCCTACTAAAATTAAGTTATCCTCTAAATAGTGAAAATTTTGGAATCTTTATGGTGAACATTAGAGAGTCTTAAAAACCTGAAATTAGTAACGGTCAATATTTCGAGGATAACTTAATTTCAGAAGGATCAAAATTGATGAAGCTGTTACAGATATTAGATCCAAGTGGACTCTACTTACACTGAAACTATCAGGCTATTTGCTTTTGTCTTGATAGAGATATGTGTGACGATTTTTAGATGGAAGAAGAGTTAGCGCTGATGGAACTACGCTTTATTGTATTTCTTCCTATCAAGAATCGCATCGTTTAAATACAAAGCATACGCTTATATATTCTTCCATAAAAGAGAAGGAAAGAGCAAGAAAGGAAATGATAACAAGGTCAGAAAAATAAGCATAATATGGTATGGACAAAGTACAAGACGATGTCTTGCTTAAGGACAAAAATATAAGGATAATCCATAAGATGAGAAGAAATAGTAAAAAGAGGAAAATATCATGCATACACTGCATGTTACAGATACGTTACAATATGACCTACTAAAGACAAACTGGATGTGGGTGTCAGTGAAGAAATCATTCACACCCACACCCAAGCCACTGATTTTCAAGTTATTGTAATATGAATTTATATTCTCGTGTCCTTTTTTTCTTGTTTCGTATTTGAATATATATTTTTTCTGTTGTAACATTTGTTTTTCAAACTTTCGTGGTATAAGGTTGAAAATGATTGTCAAATAAATTAAGATCGAAAATTCCCACTAAAAATAAAATTTTATTGATTAACCGAATTTTTCTATATTTTACATTACTTACTATATGAAAGATTATAATTATTGGAAAGAAACTGAAAATCTATGCTTTATCTTTATCAAAAATGTTAATTGTTCTCCTCTAAATATATACTGATAGTTGCAGACAATTTTATGAAATTTTCTCTTGATAAATAAAAACGATGCTAGTACATTTTGTCGCACGACACTTTTTCGCAATCATCTCGTTGCACGATCACTTCGTCGCAGAACATTTTATCGCGTTCTGTTCGTCTCAAAATAATTTCTTTCGTTCTGTGTTCGTTGTATTCTTCTCAATTAATTTCGTTTCTTTTAATAATCCATTGAAATAAAATAAAAGAAATTAAAAATTCTGAAAGATGTATACAGTAACGATAAACGCTTGACTGTTGTAAAGGCGTATAAATATAATTGGGAAAACGGATCAATAAAAATATTATTCAAAAATGACCACGATGGAGCTAAAGTGAACGAAGAACAATTAGATTTGTGATTTGTCACACAGTTAATGAGTTTCAACATAATCTATGCCAACGATAATATAGATCCGATGTTTTTAATTATGAGATCCCAAAAAAAACAGGTTTGGCCCGAGGCAGCCAACATTGGAGAGTTGTTACAACTTCTTGGTGAGTTGTTCCGGATGTTTGTAATGGGAGAAAAATTTTTTTCTAACACAATGCAAGAAAAAATCTTCGATTCCGCTGGAAAAGAAGAAAAATTTTCGATTATTGGGGTGTTGTCACAACTCCCGGTTGGACCAGCCTTGAAAAAAACATACATTGATGACATTGAAAATTATTTCATTTTTAAATCTCAATTCAATATTCACTGCACACTACCCAAATCTAATTATTCTTCGTTCATTTGAGTTCTATCATGATCACTTTTGAATCATATTTTTTATTGATCCGTTTTCCCAATTAAAGTCATATGCTTTACAACAGTCAAGCGTTTATCGTTACTGTATCCATCTTTCCGAATTTTTAATTTCTTTTATTTTATTTCAATTGATTATTTAAAAAAAACGAAATTAATTGAGAAGGATGCATCGAAATGATTGCAACGAAGTGAATGCGGCGAAATGTTGTGCACCGAACTGATCGGTCACCTTTTTTCTGTAAGGAAATTTTGAGATAATATGTAGATGATTTTCGGTTTTGTCGCTGAGTTCTGTTGTGCGGTTAATACATGTACAAAAATATTGTTTTGTTGCTAATCTACCAATATTATTTGGTAAAGATATAGCATCAAATGTTTTTTTTATTTCAAACTCTCTTATGATCAGACAGAGTCAGAAAAACAGTACTGTGTGTAGCAAGTTTTCATATAATAATTTAGCATTACTTGCTGAGAATGATCGATAGAAGATGATATATATGCGAATTTTGTACGATCTACTGCAAAAATATCTGAACGAAAAATATCGACAAATATGGTGTTTCGAGTAAAAAATAGATTTAAACACTTTTAGATCATTGTTACTTTTTTATACTTTTACTCACACTCTAGATTTGTAACCTTATGCTATATTCTATTAGCTGCAGCTGCTCCATCTTTATTAGGTTTAATTGAGTCACAAATTCACTATGTATGCGTTCACTTTAGTGAAAATTTAGGAGCAAGGCCGAAGCTAGTCAAATAATTATGATTCAACGTTGCATCAATCATGTTGTTATACATGTCATAGAATACTTAGGTGATTTATTAATTACAATTGCTAAATAGAAATAATGATAGTTTAGACATTCTTCTTATTAATTTCTTGATTTATACTTAATCTCTCTTAGATCTTTTGTATTATCCGATAAATAAAGTGCATCTTTCACTACTGAGAGTTTTCTGAAAAACACATTGTTCGACTATTTTCTATATCGATAATTTCTTTTTCAACACATTTTCTTTCCACATTTCTACGGCTAATCTTCTAGACGAACTATCTTTTTCTCGAAGTAATTTGCATATATCGTTCTCCTTCTTTACTTGTCACTATGCTATTTTCATTGCCATTAACTTATGATTGATTTACATACGATTTGCTAGTGGCTTAGTTATACATTCTCAACTAAGAAAAAAAAGCAATTGACTTGAAGTCTTTTCTTATAATACTCACTAATTATTTACGGTCATCTGCCTCTTTTGGGTACATAAAAAAAAGTATTTCACTACGAGAAAGAAGAAAAAACTTCCATCTTCGTATTTTATTCGACCGATATTACTCGTGCGTACCTCAACCTAAAATATATCACCATCCGAAGGCTTCTGTGGAGCAATTGACACTATCATTGTAACTGTCGTCAAACTAAATACCAACAAGATGATACTTCTCTGCATCTTGTAAAAATTAACCAGCTTTTCCGTCGATTATTTATTACGAGACATATT